AGCCCAGCTTCTGCCCTGTCTTGAATCACAGAGTTCTCCGAGTCTGGCTGTATGTCAGAACAGCAGGGATCTCAGATCGAGATCATGTGCTGAGCTCCACCAGCAGAGATGCTTATTGGGTAAATCGGGGCTGTGGCCTTGGAACCCATGTTCTAACAGGCCAGTGATTCCTAAGTGGGCAGTCCAGCAATAGACAGGTGTTTGAAAACCACAGTCCAGTTTTCCTTACTTTTGGCGTATTCCTTTCTCCTTCCAGCCCATCTCTCACAGCTTCCACTGTTATATCTCCCCGTTATCTACTTGATGGATCCTTGCCTCTTCTTGCCTTATTGTAGGTTATATGACCCCTAAGGAATCACCAGTTACTTCTGGTCCTTTTCCTTTGTATATATCCTCTACCAGGGCTCTGCTTGGTTTCCAGAATAAGCATTTTGATTTCTTGTTTCTGGTCTATTGGTTTATTCAGTTCTGAGTATTGAGATAATTCTCATTTGAGTATCTGTAGTTGTTCTTGCTAAAGGAGCTTTTGTAATTCTGCCCCTACAAACAAAGGCCTGTATCTCTGTCTGCTTGGCACATTTCTCTTCTTTGAGAAGCAGATCCAATATCTGCTCTTGAAGCCTGACTTGTCCCCTTTCCTGTTCTACCACTGTCCTCCAACTTTGTACTCATCCTGCTCTTTCTGGTAGATAAGGTGATAAGCTTTGAGAGGCCAGGGACCAAATAACCAGTCACGGACCATGTAGCTCCAAAGGGGTGAAGTTGTCTCACTTCAGTGCTGTGCCATCTTATGATGCAAATTGGCTCAGGAGTACATTTGTGCTGGTGGCGAGCATTCCAGAACGAACCACCTTCACTGTGAAGTCCAGTATTCACACAGACCACTGACTCCTCTTAGTCAGCAGATCACAAACTTTGACAAATACAGTTGGGCACCTATTATATGGCCTTTTACTACAGATAAAATTCTATCTATATTTAGAGGCACAAAATTAATCTTTGTAAATGTGTTAGTCTATCTTTTTTACTATGAACTTTATGAAACAGTCAAAATATACTCGGTGGAAACTATTTCTGAGTGTTAACTCCTTAAACCATCTGAGAGGGTTAATTAAGGGGAATGTGTAAGTCTCATAATTAAAGTCAAGTCATTTACCCTAGAGTTTGATGTGCTGTGTACTATTTGGCTTTAGGTTTATCTTAATTTACAACTAGGATAGGATACCTGTTACTAAAAGAGACAGTTCTTCTGTGTTCTGAAGGAAAGACCCAGTAGTTAGAAATTCTCTGAATGTAGGAGAACTTCCCTGTAACTTCTCATATTTTCTAATTCTGGCCTCTGAAGAGAGAGAATAAGTCAGATCTCTTTCAAATTCTTAATATTTGATGAATCCCTTTTGTCTTTCCCCAGCTAGACATGTTTGTTTCATCCTCACCCTACCACATGTGGTGGTGGCTTCCAGAGCATTCAGGACCTTGGACCAGGCCTGCCGGATACTCTAGAATTGCTGCGACACACTCAGTTCTTTTTATTGGAAAAGGGAACATATAACAAAACGTAGAAAATTTAAATCTCGTCAGATTCACTCAAGAAAACATTGCAAATAACACATCCAGCTTATATAGTAATATTGTAAAGACATTGGGAAACTTCGTGCAGCTCTTCGGGTGGGAGCTGTTCTCCTGTGGCTCACTTCTGCTTCCATAGTAATGGAGGTGGAGTCTTGAGCACTAGCTGACCCCTATGAACTAGAAGGACTGATTTGAGAAAGGGGTGGTGGGACTTGTGGCCTTTTATAAAGCTGAAAATAGGGGTTAAGTTGCTGCCGAATGAGCACATGACTTGCATTGTTGGCAAAGAAGGAGGGCGTGGCTTTTCTCCTCTGGAGTGTGCAGAGAGTTGGGGACATGCAGTGTAGCCTCACAGAGCACTCCCGGAGTCCTGGGAGAAGTACTGTAGACTTTAGGTTAAAGTTGTGCTGACAGAGGAGGGTCCATGAGGAGCTGAGGGAAAGGGTTGCTGGACACTTAAGCATTGGTGTATGTGCTGTTGGATTTGACAGAAAGGACAGAGAATGAAGGACTAATGTGAAGAATATTTATTCTTAATTTTTCCATCCAGTAAGTGTGTAGGCACCTTGATAAGCCTTGTCATACAGGAGGACATGGCTCAGTCCCTGACTCAGGGAGGCTGCGGTTCACAGAAAGGCCACAGGGCAGAATGGGACAGAAGTGTGTGTGGGTGCTCTGGCCACAAGCATTGGGCTGCCCTACCAGGGCAAGTATCGCTGGTCCAGTTTTCCTCACCTTCAATCCGTTCTTCTTATTATGTTAAAAACTAATGGAGGAGGGGGTGAAGGGAGGGCAGGGACAAGGGGAAAAAGTGAGAACCAAGACCTGTCATGTAGAGGTTCAAGATCCCAACAATGAATGTAACTGTACTGTATCCCTAAAATGTACCAATAAACTCAATTAAAGCTGAAAAAAACAAAACAAAACAAAACAAAAACTAATGCTTTCCCGAAATTTAAAAGAAACCTGAGGGAATTAGAGGAGAAGGGAGTGAAGTGAGGTTGTGCCTTAAGGTCCTGGCACAGTGTCAGGGCCAGCGCTGAAGCTCAGCTGCTGTGCACCCTGCAAGGAAGAGTCTTGGGGCTTTCTCCAATTCCTCTGCAACTCCCGTTCGTCCCCTCTTCCTTTCAGCACTTCTGGTGGCTTTCCCTAGGGTTCCATGTGTAAGATTTTCAGGTTTTCCCTGTTGTCTCTTTCCTTGTCTCCCTCTGATAGCTCTCTAAATTTTTTTTTTGCTTAACAAGACACTGATACAGTATACCACATTGTACATCAAAAAGAATGAACGTTTTTATTTTCTTGTAATTTCTGGTGAATTTTCGAACTTCTGCAATTTTTTGCTACTTGCTGGTCAGAATTGTCTTTGAATTCAGTAAGTTCTGTGTGTGGTAAGAAATTAAGATCTTACACATGAATTCATCTTCTTCCTTTGGGATAATCTTATTCCCAATAACAAATACTGTTGCTCTTTGAAGCAGCCTGATGCAAATGATGTGAGGGTTTTTGCCTCGGCATTGGTGGAGAACAAGACATCACAGTAGTTCCTCTGTGATCCAGAACAGGGAATTTGTCTTTAGAGGTCTGCCTACGGCAACCAGGACCTAAGTAGATAAGGCCTGTGTTTACAGGTGGCAGGGTGTGGGAAGATATGGCCACAGATGCAGAACATATAGCAGGAAGACTAAATGTTAGTTAAAAAGTGAATGATCACTGATAAACAGTAGTGGCTTTAACCAAAGTCAGCCACACCATCCTTTAAGTCACCTCCTCCTTCTGAGTTTACTATTTCTCCCGTCTTTCAGATACTTTCGTTTATTTTAAACTCTGAAATATGCTTAATTTGAGAGTTATAACCACAATCTCCATGAATAGTAGACCTTTATAAATTATGAAATCAAATCGGGTTTTTGTTTTGTTTTGTTTTTCTTTCAGGTCACTATCTCATCTTATAACAACCTTGATTTCATTGACACTATAATAATCATGCACTTCCTGGGTGTGGAGATAATTTGATTAAACATTGTGTTTTATATGTTGTATTTTTGTTTTTATTGGTAGTATATGGAAACAGATTAATGTAACTTAATATATTTTAGTAGTTAGTTATCTAATCCAAAACCATTTTGCATAAGGAACCTTTGTGAACAACATAGTTTAAATAGGGTTTTATTGTAATTTTTGTTAAATTCATTTAGGCTGGATTCTAGTTACAGGCTAAAAGACATATTTTCCTTTATTTTTAGAAACACATTATCTTTTTCTAAATAGAACAAAATATTTTACATTGCCAAGAATAAAATGGACATTAGACTCACAAGTCAAATGCTGTCTAGCTTTTATTTCATCATTTTATTTTTTTTTGGTACCAGGGATCGAACTTGAGACCTTGTGCTTGTGAGGAGGCAGGTGGTGGCACCACTGAGTTAAATCCCCAGCTCTGTTTGCTTTTGGAAATATAAAAATTGATAATTTTATGTATTAAAATACGAGTTTTTGTTAATCTTGTATTATGCTTGTCTTGGAAATGTTTTACTTGTGGCAAGAAACTATTATAAAATTGTTTCAGTGTTGCATGTATGAGTATTATGGACAATGAATGCATTTTATATGATAAATGTTGTATATATTTACATGTGTGTAAATTATAAGATTTACAGCTTTAGGGAAAAACACAAAAAGGCTGTACATGGATAGTAAAATAGTACGTGCTTTCAATGGAAAAGGAAAACATGAGTCTTGACTACAGTTACCATGTAGGTAAGTTATGGAACTGTACTTATTCCTGTAAGCACCTCCATAGCCCGAAACATCTTCAGTCTAATTATTATTTTTTAAATGGTACTGGGGAATGAACACAGGGCCTTTGCACTGAGCTGCCCTCCCTTCTGCCTTTTCTTGAGATAGGATCTTGCTGTTTCCCAGGTGGGGCTTGAACTTGCAGCCCTCCTGCCTCAGCCTCCCATAGTGCTGACAGGCATGCACCATAACATCTGGCTTGCCACCTAGTTCTTACTTGCACTAGGGTTGGACATAGAGAGCATCTTCCAAACTGCACTAATAAATTTGATGTATTTGACATGGAAGACTCTTGTTTCCCTAAAATATTTATTTTTGGTCTGTGAAGTCATTCATTAACTCTTCATCTTAAGCTTATAGTGTACTTCATTTCTCGTCTTTGTTTTTAGATGCTTTATAAAATGTGTATCATAAGTAGTCAAATGAATTTCAAAAGCTACCTTCAGAAATCAGTCTTTTTTCTTTGGTTTTTATATAATATGTTTTTGTCAAGACTCATGAGACAGTGACCTGTATTTGGCCAAATAAGGAAATGAAAAGTTAAATGTTTTAATTTAAAACATTTTAATTGCTAACAAGTGCCTTTGTAGGACGAGTACTGCGTGGTGAGTTCTGGGTAATTGTCTCTGTAGATAAGCGTGTGGAGAACTGGCCCCTCATGCAGTCCCCGTGGCCCACGCTCAGCATCAGCACACTTTACCTCCTGTTCGTGTGGCTGGGGCCGAAGTGGATGAAGGACCGGGAGCCCTTTCAGATGCGCTTTGTGCTGATTCTGTATAACTTCGGGATGGTTTTGCTTAACCTTTTTATCTTCAGAGAGGTAGGTTTATTAAGGTCTCTGTGATATTTCACAAGGGTCGGTGGAAGTTAAAAAATGAGTGTGCTAAACCATCATTTTGTAGTCCTGTACCCTGAGATAACTATTACTCTGAAAGTAAATTCTTAACATTTGTAATCTTTGGATTCCAATAGCAGTAATCTGAAAGTATGGAATAGTTTAAAATGGAACTTTGCATCTAAGAATGGATTCTATAATAACTCTTACTAGCTGTTCTGACATGACTTTGGAAGTTAGTGTTTCTTAGCTTCATTATTCCCATCTCTAAAACAAGGAAAATAGCTACCATCCAAGGTGAACATCAGAGTTCATTGAGAATTTTTTCACGGTGTTTGCTACATATTAAATACTCAGTAGACAGTAGCCATTATCTATTTAAAATGCTTGTTCATCAGTTTCAGGTTTGGTAACTGATCAAAATATGTAGACGTAAGCCCCAATTTCAGTGCTTTCAATGGAAAAGGAAAACATGAGTCTTGACTACAGTTACCACGTAGATAAGTTTTGGAACCGTACTTATTCCTTTAAACACCTCAATAGCCCGAAACATCTGCAGTCTAATTATTATGATTTCAAGTAAAATCCTATTAGATAATTTTGAAACTAAAGTGAGTTAACTGTTAAATAGCTCAGACAACTATTGCTACTGTCATGTAATTTTCTGGACACCAACACATTCTTCATGACAGTTGAAAAAAAAATCTTGGAGTTTAGATTGACTCCAGTTTTCACATTGTAAGAGTAGCAGGAATATGTTTCCTAAGAGATTTATTCACATTCAGTGTGATCGCAGAGAACTGACTAGTGGTGCTAGGAAAACTAATAGTAACTTTTCTTTAAGACAAACTTTCTGGTATCAGGGATGTATGTAGCTCAGTGGCGCAGCACCTACCTGGCAGGGGTGAGGTCCTGAGTTGGATTCCCAGTACCAAAAAGAAAAACTAAAAACAAAAACAAGAACAAAATAAACCTTTCTTCTTTTGACATCTTAGCCTGTAAAATCTCAGCTTCACAAAAACCTTCTTTAGATACCTTTACTTAACTGCTGGATATGCCCCACACAGCCTCAAGACTAGAAACCAGTTAAGCAGATCGGCTCTTGGGTCTGGAACACAGCTACGAAATAGAGTCAATGTCTCTGGACTAAAGATTAAATTTGATTTTTAATTTAATTTTTAATTTGACTTTTATAGCTAATTATAAAAGAAGTGATACACAGTAACTTTTAGAAATCCCCATGCTTTAAATGTTTAGTGAATTTGTATTTTTTTCAGAAAATATTGCTCTTAAAATAATTTGAAAGGATACGTGTTGAATTTAGCGTTTTTAATGTTTTATCTACTAAAACTTTTCTCCAAATATTATTCCCTTTTTTCCAGTTATTCATGGGATCATATAATGCAGGATATAGCTATATATGCCAGACTGTGGATTATTCTAATAATGTTAATGAAGTCAGGGTAAGTACATTACAAACACTGTTCATTGGTCCAATATGTTCTTTTATCTAGTGGTATATGAGTGAATATATATTGGATTATTAGAAAGTAGTACTTTAAAAAATTCTATGTTTTATGTAAAAATATTTTATATTTTTGTTACTTTTGGTCAAGAATAGAAATTTATTAAGACAGACAGTCTGATTCATTTGTTAAGAAAAATCTGAGGAAAAGCAAATATTTTATGAACTACATAGGATTTAAGGTATTAAGCACACATACCTTGTAATACATAAATTTGGTCTTTATTAAGTTTGTGGAAAAATAAACCACTAATAGTATAATTTTTTTCCAATTACATTAGTAAAACTACCGTTTAAATTAAGTGACAGAAACAACACATTATCTTACCTTATTAATTATTTAGTGAACTGCTCTTGTACACTGTGGTTCCTATGAAAAATTGTATATAATATAAAACATACATGTGTTGTATATGTTAGATGTTATACGTAAAACATGTAGCAGTAATATAGTATGTAGTATCTTTCATTGAGAAAAATAGCTTTTTGGCCTGGCATTTAGACAGTGTAAATATCACTACTCATTAAGGCCCGGACCAAATTCCTTTAATGTACTATTTTTGTACATGTCTTCATTTCCCTACTAGAAGGTTTATAGAAATGAAAAGTCACCCCTTGGGGTGTCATGTTGTTTTTCTTAGTTCAGCACGTATGTACTGCATATGTGTTAATGTGCAACCCGGAGGACACGGGACACAGGTGGGGAGATAGTGAGGTGTCTCCCTCCTTAGAGCAAGGGCAGGACGGTGGTGGGCAGTGGTCAGGAGGGAGATGAAGCTGGTGGTGTGACTGAGAGAATTCGGAAGGCCACTTGATTAGATTTGCTGGTTAGGGAAAAGTCTCCTCAGTGGAGAGCCAGCCTCTTGCTTGTTTATGGAAGAGGGGTAGGAGAGGTGCCTGACTTGCTTTTTGCTGAGAGTATGCTTGGAGAAGGCAATGTATTAATATTTCCAGGATAAAGATTCACAGTTAACACTCTGTTAATTACAGAACTACCTCCAACATTTTAAGTGAAAAAAACAAGCTACTGTGAGAATTGTAATCCAGGGGGAGAAAGAACCTGAGATTTGTGGCAGATTGTATTAGGAGTCTTCTTGTCCCTCCCCTCCCTTCTGTAATAGGGGCTGCTGTAGAATGAATATTGTGCTCATAGGAGACATTCTTGTATTCATTATTATGTAGCTAAGAAATATCCATTTTCTGACTAATCCAAGGGATCTAATGCAGTTTAACACTAAGGAAGATTATTTATTATTATGGGGAAATTGTGGCTAGTTTGAGGCTGAAATGGAGGAAAGATAGGACATATGTCTTTCATTCTAGATAAAATGTACTATGCCCAAATGATTATGGTTACCTTATTTTATAGCACTAAACATAATACAAATGTTAACTATAATGTTGGTTGTCCAAGCCTGTTCAGGCCTATTTTCAACCAATTTGGTCACTTTCAACATTGTCCTAACCAATTCAGCAAATTATTCTCAAGAAAATTATAAATGCATGACTTATTTTTTATTTTGGTCTTTCTCTTTCCTCTACCTCCATGTTTTAAAATTATAACCTGGGGACTTTTATTCTGTTTTATGGACTGAATTGTTGCCCAGTTGTAGAATTGAGAATAAAGCCAAGGGCGGGCTCGGTGTTATTTGCATAGCATGCTCCATGCTCTGTGTTCAGTATCTGAGCCACAAACAAACAAATAAGCAGACAGATACTAATTTCTCTTTTCTAAAGCAAAACCCAGAAACTTAGAACATCCACTGTGCAGGCTCAAAATGAGGAAGGGACCTTCATTCTATGAATGAATGTGTAGACTCTTAATAAACCCAGAAACTTAGAACATCCACTGTGCAGGCTCAAAATGAGGAAGGGACCTTCATTCTATGAATGAATGTGTTAAGACTCTTAACACACATCTATAAATAGATTTGTTATATACTATTATTTTATGTAGGTCACAGAATATTTGATAGAAAAAATATTTCAATTACTGTTATAGTAAGATTCTTATGAAATATTTTATACTGCACACACACACACACACATACACACACACACACACACACACACACACAAAGGTCATCTCTTACTGGATCCTTAATCTCAGCATGTAGTGAGTGTAATCTTTCTGCACCATCTGGTGCCTTAATTAGATCCCAGGAAGGGAAAAGACTTATGTATGTAAACAGGGTTATATTTATAACCTAGAAAGTAACCTTTTGCTTTTGTTTGTTCATTTTATCATTTGAAGGACTTTACTACCTGATACAAATAGCTATGATTTGATATTTACTTTGTTATAAATGTTGAAGTAAGACACTGAGGCCAGTTGCTGTATAAATTTACTGTAAATTCATCAGACGTATTGTTTAGTCTCTACATGAACACCTGAGGTATCTTTACAAAGTAAGCATTTTTGTTTCTCTACCAAATTGAAAGGCATAGCAGTGTGAATCTTTAGTCCACAGTTTGACACTGTGTGGCATCCACCTATGTAACTAACTTTTCTCTCAATCATTGGCACTGAGTGGAGACGCTTTGGATTCATTCATTTCCCTTTCTGTCCATAGATGAGGGGGACCTACCTAGACACACATGATTCTATGTCTGGAGTGTTTTGTGTACTGTATTTTGGATTTATTAACAATGAGTGTGTCATTTTGGTGTTTATAACGTGCGTTTCCTTCCTTATCACAGATAGCTGCTGCTTTGTGGTGGTATTTTGTATCTAAAGGAGTTGAGTATTTAGACACAGTATTTTTTATCCTGAGGAAGAAAAACAACCAAGTTTCTTTCTTGCATGTGTATCATCACTGCACCATGTTCACACTGTGGTGGATTGGAATTAAATGGGTTGCAGGGGGACAAGGTAAGCATTTTAGGAGTGTATCTGGATTACGTTATGTACAGTGTGTTAAGTAGAAAGTACTAGAAGCCTGGGAATTTGACTTGGCCTGTCTTTTAACCAGCTTTCTTAGTTAATCATCTCCATGTTCATTTCACTTTTTAAAAAATTTGAAGAAAGCAAAGCTTTAGCTTCTCTGTGACTACTTTGGTATCTAAACGGAGACGAGTATAACCTAGGTCCAAATGTGCAGATTAGTATTTGCATGGGGGATAGTTCTAATAGTTACATTTCAAAGGATCCCAAGGCACTGCTCCTTGGATGAAATCTTCAGTCCAAGCATGGGGCTCACTTCTGTGTTAATATAGACCTTAAATGATCTTGTTGGTTCTTATATAAATGAAACTATATGTATTATACTTAGTGTTAGAGAGGACCTGAACTCAGTTGGCTGAGATTTGCCTTCAGTCTTTTCAAATGCCTGTAGACTAAGAACAATTCAAATAGTCGTGCTAGAAGCAAACTATTCCCCTGATGAGTTTCCAAGGTCCAAGTCCTCACAGTACAGCTCACTTCCCACTTTTTGTTGTCATAGGGAAATAGGCAAATTGGGAATTTACACTGACACATGAGTATTGGGGACCCAGTTAAAAATACATTTAAACTATAATTTTAAATAGAAAACTTATGTCTGGTCTGACCCTTTTAATTGCTTTACAGCAAAGTTCATTATTATTATGTCTGTACTTTGACTTAACTAATATTCTGAAAGAATACTATTGTTTTAGACTAACTGGAATATCTCTTTAGATTTATAGGTACTAAATAGATTGTTCTATATGAACAGTGCTGTCATATTTTTAAACTATGTAGAAACCTAAGAAATAAATAGTAGTTTGTTGATAATGTACATTGGGATGCGTAATAAAAATGATGCACCATTTGCATATTTCCTAAAAACATTTAGATGTGCCATAACTTTTCTCTCCCAAGAGCAGTAGAATTAAAAGTATATGAGGTCCCGTGTAGCCCACCAGAGTGTCCCATTTGAGAGCTTACCGCTTTGAAAGCCCTTTGCATCTGAGTGTCACATGTTTACTTACGTGGTAAAGGCTCAGATCTAAACTTTTAAAATATCTAGCTTAAAGTTGAGAAGTGTTTTCCTTAGAACTACTTTGTGTCTTCATCTGTTCTTAGGATTAAGTGTTATGAAATAATACGGACTCACTTTTTAAAATCTCAGTAGTTTCTTGTCTAGTAACATTTTCTTCATCTTACAATTTTCTTGCTTTTCTAAAGCATTTTTTGGAGCTCAGATGAATTCCTTTATCCACGTGATTATGTACTCATACTACGGGTTAACTGCATTTGGCCCGTGGATTCAGAAGTATCTCTGGTGGAAACGGTACCTGACCATGTTGCAGCTGGTGAGTTAAATGCTTCTGAAATTTCTTCAGTGAAATATTTGCAGTGTTTGCATTTTATTAATGTAACATCTAAATCATTTTAGACACTTCCCATTATAAAATTAACATCCTCCAGCTGTAGCATTGAAACAGACTGCTCAGTTCTTATATACCTGTTCATAGGTTTCCTGACCACAGCTATTTGCTTTTATAGGGTCCTTGAAAGACTAGTCCCAGCACTCACCCCCAATTAAAGTATCCATGGAATGATGGTTAAAGGTCTTGGCACATCAGAAAGTACATAGATTCATGTGTAACTAGAAAAATCACGACACTTTTTTGAGTGATTTTTTTTAACATAAAACTCTATTATCTTCATCTTGTCCTGGCTTAACTTTTTTAAAATTCCACTTTCAAAGTTTCTGTTAACAGAGCCGATACACTTAGAATATAAGGTTGAAAAGGAGACACAGAGCCAAGGAAGGGCAGAGTGAAGGAAGGGAAGAGAGACTAGCTAACTTACTTTATTGCCTAAACACTGTCCATAAAGAGCAGAGCTAGGTTTTTTCACATGAGAAAGAGCTCGAGTCTTCAGACCAGACAGTTTTCAGCACCTCATCCTAGCTGGATGTCTTGAGCTGGCCTTTAATCAATCTCAAAATCCAAAACCAACTGGTAGTTAATCTCCAAGCCTCAGAATTTATCATAATTTGCCATAATCATAGTGTATGCAATTTTATCAGTGGAATCACATTTGGAAATACTATCTTTTTCTGCTTTAAGTTGCTAATCAGATGACTAGCCAAACAGGAAACACAGCTTTTGTGGAATGCTGGGTGTGAAGGATTCACTTGTGACTGAAATGGTGCAGGAGGCTCCCTCCAGTTTGTGTAAGCTGTGTATTCAGTTTGTGTAATTCATTTCTCTCAGTAATTAGTGAATAGTCCAAAGAAAATGAAGAAATGAACAAAATCACGTGAATGAACTGAGGTCCGTTTTGCTGGCATCTGCCTGGCTCTTTCCTGACCACACCCTGACCATACCCATTTTGGCGGTGCAGTTCTAAGAACCATTGTGAAACCAAAATTTCTTAAAGTTTGGATTTTTGCCATGGGAAATTGTAAAAGTTTTAAAATATAAATTTCTGACTTAAATGGAATAAATTATTTTAATAATATTTAATATAATAACATTGATAATGCTTTTCCTAAAAAAGAAATTATGGTTGCCCATTTCAAATGAGATTTTAAATTTGTATTTCTAAGGTAGAAATTCTCACAATGTCTAGTAATGTAAGTTAATTTTATAAAAAGTTAATCCTTGTTAATACCATAGAATTTATAATTCTTATAGCATAAAGCATTCATTTATTTATTATACATCATAAATTATAGCTATTTTATTATTTTAAGCATCTCACTTTTAGCTTTTCTCCTTTTATGAACTTTTAAAATAAAAATAATTCTTTTTGCACTTATTCTCAAATATATACTAAGTTTTATCAGAACATTAAAGAGTAGTGTTCATTCAGAGAGAAGTTTGCCTGTCTACTGTCTGTAGGAAGTAAATAATAAACCATTTTGGAAAGTTCAATTTTAAAGTGTATGTACTTCCTTGCTGACAGTTTGGCAGAAAATATTCTATCTAAAATATGAGAGGAAAGCAAAATTGTCATCTCACTGCTTTACCAAACTCTTCAGACAGCATTGGTCAACAAATATTCAAAGAGTCCCCACTATGTGATGGCCCAGGGCTCAGGAATCATCACTGAGCAAGACCTCTGCCTTCTGGAGTTATATTCTAAAGGAAAGATAGATAATGAAGAAGTCAACAGATACAAAAGACAACTTTCAGATAGTTAAACTTTATCACACACACGCATGCACACACACGCGCGTGCACACACACACACACATACACACATGCATGCTCCGCCTCATGCTTAAGGGATCGAAAGGCCACTGAAGTCATGAGGAAGCCCTTGCTGAGCAGATGGCATTTGAATGAGGTGCAACCAGACAACTTTTAAATTTTGTGAACTGTGTGGTAGAATTTGGGTCTATCTGTATCATAACTAAGTATAGAATATTCTGATGTTGTTATTGAAAGTTGCTCACTGTTCAGATAAAATTTTTTTTCAGGTCCAATTCCATGTGACCATTGGGCACACAGCACTGTCTCTCTACACTGATTGCCCTTTCCCCAAATGGATGCACTGGGCCCTGATTGCCTATGCAATCAGCTTCATATTTCTCTTTCTCAACTTCTACGCACGGACATACAATGAGCCTAAGAAGCCAAAAACTGGAAAAACAGCCATGAATGGTATTTCAGCAAATGGTGTGAACAAATCAGAAAAACAGCCAGTGGTAGAAAATGGAAAAAATATGAAAAATGGAAAAGCAAAAGGAGAGTAAATTGAACTGGGCCTTAACTGTTGTTGACAGTAAGGAAACTCCTATGTCATATAAAATTTCAGGGCAAACAGAAGAAGGAGAGGAGGGTTTGGGGTGGGGAGAAAAGGAAAATGTGTTTCATGTACTAGTAACCTTTAGACTGAGTCAAGTGTTAACTACAGTACCCAGATGTTTTATTTATGAAGTTTTTATTTTAAACCATTTTTTTATTAACCTTGATGTTGTCAGACCAAAGCAATCATATTGTGACTTTGGAGATTCTCCCTCTGTTCATATCCACTCACCTATCAAGTGAAAGTTCGAATGTCTCTTATGCGTGCCCATCCTTCAGTCTGAATTAAAGGCTGATGATCAGACATGCACGGTCTTCATGAATTTTTTTATTTTGTTTTTTTGGTACCAGGGATAGAACTCAGGACCTTGAGCTTGCGAGGCAGGCGTTGGGACCACTGAGCTAAATCCCTGGCTTTCATTAATTTTTTGATCACATTACCAATTACTTAACTGATTAAAATCCATTACCTTACATTTTCTTATCCAAAGCTGAAAGTGCGATACATTAAAATTTGCACATTTGAATTCATCTGTTGACCAAATGGTCAAATCTCTCCATTTCTATTCAGAATATATAGTTTTGGTTGTAATTAAATTTTTAAAAATGTGCTCATCTCTGTAGAATCTTAGAGGCTTGATGATGATGGTGTGGGTGAAATAGGAAAGAATTACAGTACAACTCTGTGTAGTGACCCCACGGTCATCATGATTCACAGCACAAATCACTCTAGGAGACAATTTTTGTGATGAAAAGGCAGCCTTTTAATATTCCTCTTTCTAGCAGAAATGTATTATGAAAATTAAGGTTTTTCTGATTAAAACATGAAATAACTCTTGTCTTTATTAGTAACATCATCAGATGGTTTCATTTGTGTGCTGTTAGAAGAAAGTATGTTGATTTTACCAGGCTTGCCTTGTTTTGATTTGCGGCTGTTACTGATTTTTTTTCATATGTGGAAATAATGCCTACCTCTTCTGCTGTAAAGAACATTTAAAATTAAATAAATTTAATTAAAAAATCAAGGAGTCTTCTGTAAATTTTAATTTTAATTTTTGAATCTACTTAGTTTTTGGCTTTTTTACAAATAGCATACACCAAACATTTCTGTGAAACTGTCCTCCTCTTTCAACATGTTTAATTTGGGGAGTGATATTTCTCTTGTGACTAAGTTGCAAAATTTTATTTATTAACTAGATAATGAAATGTAAACTCATTTTGGTGCAATATGCTTGACTCCTTGGTGCTAAGGATTGTTAAATTCAGAGCTTGACGTTATAAGATGTTAATTGTTAAAACAAAATGAATAAAAGAGTAGTCAGAACAGTCAAGTTAAATTTGCTATTTACAAATGAAGTATTTCATGTAACAAAAATGAGCAACTGGAAACAGGGAACGAGAACATGTAAAGTGTTTTATTAGATGGGTTAGTTTGTTAGGGAGATGTCACAGAGGGATCATTATAGAAAGAGAAAATGTGACGAAGATAGCATGACTATTTCCAAGTATATTCCCACTTTGTCAGAACTGCACGTGTAGGATGTATGCTGTTTGTACAAAGTATTTCAGAATATTTTGTAAACTATAAAATATTTATTGTGCATTAAAATTTCATACTTTTCCCTGAAAGGCATGCAGTCATGAGAATTACAGAAAATTGTACCACACGCAATGGTTTAGTCAGAGGATTCTACACTTTTGTTCTTGCTCCTCAGTGTGTGATGACTAGAGATTTGTAAATCTTTGTGAACATTCTGTACTGCTTCCCAAGAGCTATTCATTTTCAGCACAATAAATATACCACTGCTGTGAGAAAAGGATGTGTGTTTTTTGTTAATCAGTTTATAATGATGTCAATTACCTGCTAAATACTTATTTATATGATCAAGTTTATAAAGTTCTAAATTCTTTTCTGCCACTGGTTTCTTACACAGAAAAGAAACGAGGGCTTACGAAGGAGAGGGCTTAAGTGGAAAAGCGTAGCCTTGCATTACGGAGCTTGGGCCTCCTACTGGGTGGTAAATGGGGCTGCAGAGAGGAGAGGCACCCTGAGCTGGAGCCATTGTGTGCAGGAGGAGGACGCTTGGGGAAGAACCATGGAGCCTGGTGAAGGTCACCAGTCACCTGCTCCTCAGTATGTGAGTGATGGTAACTGGAACTCAGATAGGACCCTAATACTGGCATAGTTTAGAATCCACGTTTAATCTTAGGCTTTCTAGGTGGAAGATTTTTGAAGACCAGAGTAGTGATAAGGCAAAGGAGCAGGACAAATCATGTTAGAAGTTGGCACAGCTGTGAACTGAAAGGCACGGGTTATTTTGAGTTCGTTTTTAATAGGATGCTGTGGATCCTGATGTAAACTGAAATTGACATAGTGGCTGGGGCTGTAGCTCAGTAGCCCAGCACTTGCCTGGCATTCTCAAGGTCCTGAGTTTCATCCCAAGCACCACCAGAGCAAAAGAAAGTAAAAATGGCTGTATACAACCACTTCCACATGAAAACTGTTCAGATTTTAGAATCAGAACCCAAAGAACTTTGTGACTTACGAAGGAGGTGTTGCATAGCTATTCAGATGATTAGCAGAACCGTCAAGTGGGCAAGCGGTAATGAACTTCCCCTTGTTTTTTTCAGACTTACGGATTTAGGTTTTTGTCATGTCCTTCGCAAAATTAAAACTTTATAAACCAGAATTTAGGGTTTTTTTTATTGTTTTCAGGTTTTTTCATTGTACCACGTAAAGTTCTGTTTACAGAGCCACATACAAACTCATTTTCCTTCAAATCTTTGCTTCTTGGAGAACTACTTAATCTTAAATAGAAACTGAACTTAGAGTTACTGATTTTTTTTGTCATTCTCATACTCAGAGTTTTCCCTGGGAATGTGTCCTTAAACTAGTGCCTCCCTTGAAACTAATACGTGCTGAAACACATCACTTGGTATCTCTCCATCTAATTATATGATGCTGCTATCAGGAGGTCCAGTGTGGTTGACATCTACACGGAGAATATCCCCAAATTAAAAGCATCCTAAGCCCACCTGGGGAAGTTTAAATGATACAGCTATTTCTAAAAAGGGTTTCAATATTATTTTCCTACTTAAATACTGTGAGTCTAACACAATACTATCTCTGTAGTCCATAAGTATAGTGTGGATACTTTGTTAGTCTCTGGGTATCCTTGAATTTTTTTTTAAATATTAGAGGACCCTATTACATAACTTCTTTTCTCAGTTTTTGATTTTTTTCTTTGTCATGAAGAAATACTTTCTCTGTCATCCGTGATACATTGTATTTAAACTGAGTTTCTCCTCCCTGGGAGGAAACTCTATCCTAAGAACCAGTCTGTCAAGAATAATGATGACTTAGCTATTTGCTAATAAGACAGTGTACCGGTAGGTTATGAGTTGCAGTACAGCGATAGCAACAGTCTCGCCTCACCTTTGAGTGTGATTTCATTTCCTTGATGCAGGGATCCCGTGCAACATTTACATATTTATAACAATAAAGAGTATCAGCTATTCATATATATTTGGTTTTCAAACACATTCTGGTTGTAGCTCTCATCATTGAAATTTAATGATGTTACATGATCACAAAAGAATTGCTCTTCCAATAAATACTTTAGTCAAAAGTGTTTTCATTTTGATTGATGACTTATGGCTAGCCCTATAAAAATGATACCTAATCTTACTTCCAGATAGAAAAGTAGTGAGGAAACTTGGTAAGGCAAAAGAGAGGTCAGATGGATTTGGGGAACAAATTTCTAATTTATCATTAGAGTTGAGATTTGAAATTGACACCCCAAAGGTCTACCCTAAATATTAACTACTTCAGAAACCCAGCACCATTTAAAAGTTACTGTGCAAGAATTTTACTGGCATGATAGATTCATTCCCGTTCTTCATTTAGAGTCTCTCCTCTCTCCTGCAGCATTATAGAATTTGGAGAATTAAAATTTACATTTCACGGATTCTGCTATGAGCCTGTGATTCTCTCACACATTTAGTTTTTGTCAACATGAGGCCATCACAATTAAAATTGTAGGAAGGCAGAGGAGGTGGAAGACACAGTCCTACAGGGGTGCAATTAGATAAGTGAACCCCTACAGACAAAGTGTTAGCAACAGCTGTGCTATTGCTCTAACTTTCCTCTGATATTGTGAATGCAGACAGTGGTAAGGGTGATAGCAATTACAGCAATGTAGTCATATACATTTGAAGGCAAAGGCTAAAGTAGCTTCCTGGCTTTGATTTTTATAGGTTACTAGTAATTTTATAAGTAATCCTTTGAATTATAAGTTGTGCTGCTTCAAATATCTTGAGTAGTATGTATTTCACTTACTGAACCTTATCTAACTTACCATGCAGCAGCAAAATGTGACTAAGAAATAGCCTCTTAAAGATAATACGAGATTGGTTATGCAACCTTGAGTTTTTAGATTGTTCTAACTTCTTGTTTCGTGAAAAATTGGATACTATTTTCCAAGGGGCAACTAGGAAGGAAATCCTATTAAAAGCAAAATGTTTGTCAGACCAAGAGTTTGCTACAGGGCATTGTGATACAGATGAGGAATGTAAGACTTGAATGGCAAGGCTGCCTCTGCTCTGCAGAGCTTACAAAAAGCAAGCTTGTTCACCTTTCAGTTCTTGGCATAAAGCAAGGGCAAAGGAGCTTCCATGGCTGCCCCAACAGCCTTCCCTACAGAAGGGAGTTTCTGTGACTATTATGGGGAATCCTATTATATTTCATAACTGCACGACTAAAATGTCTTAAGCCCCAGAGTTTGACTCTCTGGGTTATAGAATGAAATTCACAGCCTCAGTATTTCCCTAAGCAAAAGTTGATTGTGAATGATGGGACTCAAAGAATTGATATGTGGATACTTGGATAGATTTGGATGAATCTGATAACCTAAGTATCTAAATTGGGAACTTTCTGAACCAAGAAAAGCAGTCCCTCTTCTTGTATAAGATGACACTAATTTTTTGTTGCTTAAGATTTCATAATGACCTTGACTAAGGTCATCACCTATCAAGGAGATGCTGATCCTCCCGATGCCTGTGACATTTAAACTCCTCAGTTGGCTTGGGGCCACTCAGGGCAGTGGTGGCGAACCTGTGGCTCATGTTCCACAGCTGGCTGTTACCATTGAAAGCTCCAAAAGCTTCACCAGCACTGACCTAGGAGATTAGTAAAACACTTCTGGGTGTGTCTGGGTGGGTCATGGAGTTGTGTGTCTGTAGCTGACCCCTCACCTCTTTCTCTCTGTTCCTTTACTGCTTCCTGGCCCTTGTGAGACGAGCAGCACAGCATTCCTCTGCCGAAACTGATGCTCCTGTCCTGGACCATGGACTGGGTTCTCAGAAGCTGTGAGCCAAACCACTTCCTCCCTTAAACTGTGGGTCAACTATTTAGTCCCAGCAGTAGGAAAAATGACCAATACAGCTTGCCTTTTATTCTTTAAATGCCATTGGCTCTATAAGGCAAATTATTCCTGTTTTTGTTTTTAAATTTTTAAACTTTTGGAGACTGTTCTCACTTGCCCATACTGGCTTCAAACTCCTGGGCTCAAGTGATTTGGACAGCAGGGACTATAGGCACATGCCACCATGGCCAACTTCTATAAAGAGAATTATATTACTGTATGCCATGGGGACAAACAAAAATCTACCCACCAAAGAGATAGTGTAGATTGGAGGACCTGGCTAATTTGCATATTCAGAAACGGATAGGAATAGCTTCTCAGCTCCAATCAAAGCAGGAAGAAACCTCATTAAAATGGACTGAAATTAGTGCTCTTGATGTACTTACCAGAAGTTAACTTGGGACTAGAGCTCAACAAGGAGGAATAGATTGTGAGTTATTTAATAGAAACCTGTACTAAAATGAGATATTACAAGTTGATTAGAATAAAGTAGAGGAAAGAATCAAAAGGCTTATGGAGCTGGTAATGTTGGATCCTGTGTGATCCACTTGGTTACTTCCTCACTATGGAGCTGGTAATGTTGGATCGTGTGTGATCCACTTGGTTACTTCCTCACTATGTTTGAGAAATACAGTGCCAAAGACCACCAGTAGTGTTGAACACTTCTTGAGTAGCTAAATTCTGCTTGCTGGCAGTGATGGAGGAAGGACGCTGTCTCTGAACTAGCCTCTCAAACTGCAGTGGGCATGCTGGTATCACAGTTTCGAGAGGACAAATGGCAGCACTCGTGTGGACATGACTAGAGTCGTAGCATCAGAGCCATAGTGGTTATTAGAGTAGCTTAGCCTGGGGGTGTCTACAATGGTAGCTAATCTATTATGATATTCCTAGAACTGAAGTAGATATTCAGCCTACCAAGGACCTACTTGATTAATATACCTGATTCTAAATCTGGTGAACACAGGCCTGACTTGAATTGCCACAAGGAAGAGATACAGCCTCTCACCTACCAGAGACCTCTGCAGCAGGTTCCAGTCTCCCACCTAGTGTATGACACAGGGTTGGAGAAAGACTCAAAGACAGAATTAAGGAAAAAAGTGGGGAGCCAGGATGGCCAGTGCTGAGCTACCAACAAAGGCTCTGGTCAGTCCAAACCACTGATTTTTATTGGTAGGTTGGGGTAAAGGGGAACTACATGCAAGGATGTGCAGTTGTGCAGTTGCTATGGATACTAATGCAGATAAGACTTGGAAAGGACAAAGCACTCTCAAATTAGGAATGGAATAAACAAAATATAGGGTTGTAATTAGAACTTTGTCCTTCTGGTTAACAAGGTTTTAGTTGTGGGAATGGAATTTGGATGTGAGTTACTCTGACCTCAGC